AGTCTGATGTGGTTACAAGATAACGTCAGTTAAAGAACCACCGAAAACCAGGGAGTACTGGACAGCTGTTAATTCGTCGTTTGGAACTCTTAAAAGGGTAACAGCACTTATTCAACCATAACTGACTGGAAGTTGCACTATATATGTCGCGAATAGGCAGGACTTGGAATTTTTGGGCCATTTGATTGGGTCTCAGTGGCTTAATAGTCCATAGGCTTTGTTTGTAGCCTGAAGGCCCTGGATTCTAACCCTATCGGTGTATTCGTACTGCTTCCCAGTACTCCGTGGTCTTCTGTAGCTCTCTCACCAATATCAAATTGGGACAAGGTTCGTTAAAAACCAACACAAAAGACAAGATCAATGACATTGTTTGCACCATAGTATCATGTCAATTCTTTTCACTAAGACAACCGGCTAAGGACAGTTTATTGGGAACATTAGATACACTAGTGGTAAAATACAACAGCCTTACATTAAAAGTTCAATTCGCAGAAACTATGAGTTCTACCTCCTAATACAAATCACTTCATTTCACACCTATGCTGACTGCCAATTTTTCTGCACTTCTGTTGTGTAAAACTTCGTCTGTTTTTTGAATATTTTTGATTATAGCTTGATTCCAAACCTTATTTTTGTCGCAGATATAGAATTTTCAGCATGTGCTATCGGTAGCCTAAATTTAGGAGGCCGACCATAGATATCAGGTGTGCGTCGGGAAGGCATCGAACACCGGACCATGTTTATGGTTGGCGAGAGTCCTAACCACTGCGCTTTTAGCAGAGAACCTTCCAAAAATAATAATATTAATGTCTGTTTTTGCTACTGCTACGTTGAACCGGTTCCCTTCTCACTTTAAATAAAGCAATGATATAATCTGTGACAAAACTCTAGTTGACCTTCACTACCTGAAAGTCCTAATTGTTTTTAAGTTAGAGATAAGTTCCCTTGTCTGTCCGTTGGTATGTGCATCTATTAGTTCACTTATACTTGTGAAGCACGAAGTTTGGTCATTTAGCCCGAAAATTCCCTGAGAAAAAATAAACCAGCGAATACGACATTTTTTAGTTCATAACTTCACTTCAGAGCTGTACAGTTATCTAGAGGATTCATACATGCACTGTTAATTAACAACAAGGGTCGAAGAATGTTGTTATTTAGTGGCAAAATAAATCACATTAGTAGAAGGAACAATGTTTGAAAAACAGTGAGTAATACTACGTAAAAACTAACCGGTGAAGTGAAAAATAACCATTTAGAAGTTAATGATAAGAAACAAGAGAACAAAAGATTTAGAGATGACTAAAAAATGGGAAAATGAAGAAACTCATTAAACTTTATTCCACAACAATTTAGGGAGGTATTCAGGTAATGGTTCGTGGGGATTTGATTGATTAGTTACAGGATCTCATCATCAGCTGACAGTAATTAGAGAACTACTGGAGAACCTGAAGGATGTAGTGGAAATCCATTTTGTCCTAGTATGGGACCCTTCATCAGTACTCACACACCTGTAAGTTTCAGACCCAGGATCTCTCGGTTACAACGCGAGCTCGTAGAACATTAAGCCACTGTGACCCAATCCAATCGCTCATGAATTCAAACTTTTGCCAATTCACGATATAGAAAGCCAACTATCCAGTTTCTTCGGCGAGTTTTGTCCCGACCAGCCGTCCAGAACTCCGGAGTTATCCAATACCTCTCTAACCGATGTCAGCTAATGGTGAAATTAGATAAACCAATTCAGGAAGAAGACAATGACAACAAGTCCACTGTGGTAAAAGCGGTTTGACTAAACTGCTGTGAATTCAAAATCCAAATTTTCCTTTAAGCATAGCTCAAGCTTCAGATACATGAAGAAAAAGTGGATTAATTCCTTTCGAGCAATTTGATCGTACTTTATATATGACTGTGAATGAAGTGTCTAGTAATGCCACTCAACCGTGATCAACAATTTACTGCAGAATTGAGCTGCTGGTTATGCTGTGTCATTCTTCTGACAGCCAGGTGTTTGTGGACCTCTCCATATAATATCCTGCTGCTATGGTCTATATACTCAGCACTACAGGGGGAAACTGAATCAGTAGTCGAATTCCAGCATGGTTTTACTAGTAAAAAATAAGAGTGTGAGAAGCTCTATTCTTGAGTAGTAATACGACTTCTGTCAAACACCTGATTCTAAAAATGACTTTAACATCAGCAGATAAAATTCATGCAAACCTGCCTTTTCATTTCAAACTTCAAAGGAGAGCAGGAGCTTTATCTATCTATGAATTAAAGCCAGAACTTGAAACATAAAATAATTATTTATACGGCTTCTATTTCTACCCTAGTAAAAGTACAGAAAAGGGGGATAAAACCACTTATCTATTATTTTTCGATTTTTGTCATTAATCTGTATATCCTTCTCTAGCTAGTACTATTCTTATAATTATTTTCACCTTTTTCCTACCTTCGTTGAATTCAGTATCATTCTGATGATGATAAACTCTAATTTTTAAAAAAGCAACAATTGTGAAATAAGCAGTATTTGATGAATTCATAAATTTTGGTAGGAGGACTTGTCAGCGGAATACTTGACAAACGTGGTTATTTATACACTTTTAAGGTTAACTACAAACGAACACGTGAACGTAGTGACAACAGATAAGTATTAGCTTGAACAAATCTACAATCCATAAGTTTAGTAAGTGATAATTGGCTAACTTTATTATATGGCATTCAGTGAACTGTAGTCGTACAGTGACGTTGAGTAAAAGCCTTATAGTTATTAATAAGCAAAGTAATAAAAAACGTTTTTACGAGGTGATCACGGACTGATATCATTTAGAGAACCATTGGGAACCAAGGAGTACTGGACAGCTGTTTCACTCAAGTTTATGACTCTTCACAGTGAGCACCCGCTGGGGTTCGATCCCAGGACCTACCAGTGCAAGGCAAGCTCGTATGCTATTCCATCACTGGTGCCTGATTCAGTGGCCACCCTATAAATTCTAACTTCTACCATCTTGTGATTTTACCATGACTAGGAACAAATGTCATCGGTGAGAACTCCATATTCACTCTCGACTGGATGAACTTCACTTGTCACAACTTCTCACTATAATCCAAGAAACTCCGTCCTGGAGCAAGTCACTAGCGAGCATCCGATTAATTTTCAGGAGTTGGCTTGTGAAGATTAGTTTTGCTATTTTACGAGGTTTTGATGGTTCTCTAACTGATATCAATTCATGATCAATTTGTAAGAAAAAGCAAAACTTATCCTTACAAACCAATTAGAGAAAGTTTATCATTGCATAATTTCTACCATTGAAACTCCACATTGTACTTTGAAGAATATTATTCACTTCTGAATGACGTGAGCAGATTATTACTTATAGCTTATAGATCATATATTTATTGAAATTGATATCGATTTGTTGTTACAATGTTCATGGGCTTGTACGTATATATGAATAATAAAGTTCGTAGGATATTCAGTTGACAAGTCCTATCGAAATTGATGATTCATCAGATACTGCTTTCTCTCAAAAATACCTATTTCCTTGCTGCCTTAAAAAAATATTTTCGAACTCTATCTTATCAAAATTTATCACCTTATTACATCATCTTTTATTAGCCTACTAACCTTATTACCTTTGCACTCTTTTCTAAGATTGACGGATTCCATGAAGTATTTCAAATAATTATTTCATAACCCAATTTTGTTACCACTTCATGTTTCATTCTGATTGCTATCACAAATATTTTGTCGCAGGTCACATTGTTATTATTTCTAGTGGTTATTGGAATGAGTATTGTTACTAGCATTCACACCTGTTGTTCTTTTTCCTTCACGTTCTCACTGGAACATAGGGCTTCAAGCTAGTGGCTTGAAGTTTCTGTAGCAGTGTTTATTTTTACAGGATGGGGTTGCTAGCCTCATGCCCAACCTTCCCTCTTTACAAGTCTTATTACTAGGGAAGTTAGGTAAAGGAGTTTGTCGGCCGGGGATCGAACCCCAGATCATGTGCATGGTCGGCGACTGTCCTAACCGCTATGCGACTTGTTGTTTAAAAACCGTATATACATAGTTCTACATATCAAAAAGAGTTTCTTTGTTATATGCTGAGTTTTTTTTCAGGTATTGGTTTTGCAGGGATTTTTTGTTTAATTGCAGGCAGTTAACCTGGGGTTCTAGTGGGAAGCCGTGACCAGTAGGGTACAGCAGGTCGAAGATGAGGCAGTAACTCATCGAAGAAGAAATTGTGAAGTGGTCGCGCTATGTCGTGAATTGGCAGAAGTTAGAATTCAAGAACCATTGGATCGGGTCCCAGTGACTCAATGGTCTACGAGCTCGCCTTGTAACCAGAAGGTCTTGGGTTCGAACCCCTGTGGGTGCGTACCGCTGAGGTGTCCCAAACTAGGACGAAACAGCTGTCCAGTACTCTCAGGTTTTCCAGTGGTTCTCTAATTGATAATAGCTCATGATTAAATCCTCCATACAATCAAGTGCTGAGGTCGCAACATACCCTTTTCGCTCAGGCAACTCAGTTATCCAGATTTCCGAATTAGTAAACAGATAGTCACTTTTCAAGAGTCAGCTTGTAGAGATTTGATTGGCTACAAGCTTGATTAAAGAGTGACATCAGTAAGAGAACTACTGAGAGCAGGGTAATGTTGGCAGCTGTTTCGTCTTAGTCCAGAACCCTTCGCTAAAGTACTCACCCTTGAGCCTATCAGCGATGGAAACCAGCCCTTTCAGGTTATGAATACGAGCTCGATAATCATACAGACAGGAATCCAATGGCTTATAAATTCTAACTTCTGTAAATTTACGATTTTTATGCTACAGTCAGCCAATGTCACTAGCGAGTCATTTTGTTGAATCTATTTTTGATAAACTAAAGAAAATTACTAATAGTGATAAGATTGTAAAAATGATTCATGTCGTTTAGGCCGTATTTTTCACTAGGAATTCCAGGAATAAATAATAATATTCTGTTTTTTATTACGTTCTATAGGCTGATGTCAATATAACTTATGTGGTGAAAAACTATCAAAATCCGTATAATTTGGATAGCCGATTAAGAAAATGCGAAGCATTGAATGTTTTCGGTGATCATTGTGATCCGTTTTTTCATTTTGCTGCCTACACATCAACAGAAAAGTGAGTGAGGAAAATTAATTAGGACTAATTCAATTCTATTTTTGTATTTTTTGTTTGTTATTTATTCACACTGACAAGGGTCATTTGATAAGTTATTGGTTTGATCATAAGCTGATAGCGGTTAGAGAATCGATAGAAAGCCAGGGAGTACTGGACGTTTGTTTCTTCTCTGCTTGGGACTCTTCAGAAGTAGTCACTAATCAGGATTCGAACACAAAACTCTCAGGTTACAAGGCTAGCTTGTAGACTATTCAGCCACTAGGACCCATTATTTCCAGCTCCTGCCGATTTGCAGTATATATAGTGTGGATGTATGCCAATGTTATTGGCAAGTTATTGTTCTTTTACCTGACTAAATAAAACCCACGGGCTACGACGTCTCACTAGAATTCTAGGTACCTTTCCGCATAGACTGACTTGCTGATGAGAGTCAGATTAATTATCAAGTGTTAGTTCACAGGAATTTGGTAAATTTGTCTCTCAGACCGAAATATTTTTATTTTCTGTGATACAGTCATAGTTATGTATTTTATAGAAGCCAGATGGATTGGACGCCCACTTAGGAGGCCGCTGGGTGACATCGCGCGTCAGGCCATTGCTCAAGTAGAACCCGAAAGGAAAGCGGCGAGTGGGACGTCCAAGGGTGACATGGAGGAGATCGTGTGAAGAGGAGTTGAAACAGTATAGACTAACATAGATGTAGGTGAAAAATACAGTAGAAGACAGAAGCAAGTGGAGACGAGCTGTTGAAGCCCTATGTTCCACCACGAACCCAAGGGGACAATAATAATAATAATATAATAATACTAATATTTGTACTGAAACTCAGACCAAAGATTAAAGACTTCAAATGGTACAACAGTGCCTCCTAGACCATTGAACTGCGTAGCCACCACTATAAAGCGTACTATATATAGGGATATACACAAGTCGTACCAAAAGCGATACGATCACTGATCAAAAAGAACCAATAGTGATAAAGAAAAGAGGGATGCAACAGAAACTGGAGGATGACTTGACACAGATGGGTTATTTGTGCGAACACGGAGTCAATCCAAAGGTGAACATTGTTTCGATGCTAGTTCTGACTTATTCAAATATTTCGTCAGCATAGAACTTTGAATGCGGGTAAAGAACACTAAAATGAGAGATTGTGCTTTCCTTTAATAAACCACACCAACCGTCCTTGTCCGTGGTATCTCCCGTACTTCTTCATATTAGTGATGATAACATTCCATAGTTTTAACAATTTTATTTAGCCCACACCCACTTTAGAACGCTAAATCTGAGACTCAGTAGGAACTGCACTACATGTATTCATCTGATGAATTATCGATGAGGTGAAGCACATGTACTTTTGTTTCCATCATTATCATTTTCACCACTATTTCTAATTTAATATAATATTTTGAGGTATTTTTATTTAAAAGCCGATCAATAATTAACTGGCTACGTTACTGATCACTTTACCCCCAACGGTGTATTTTGTGATTATATATACATATATATTATTTTCAAGTAGTTAGTTTTTTTGATAAATTTGACTAATATAATGCAAAGAGCCTTGTGGCGAAAACGATATCAAAGGTAGGCTCAGAATCCTCGAGAGTTGTTCACTATTCTTAAGTCGGTGCGCGAATCTAATGCACTCACCGTAAGGAACAAGACCCAGATTTGCTACACCGATAACAGGTCATGTCTTTTATATGGTTCAAAGACTTAGAGAGTTATGGAAGTAGATTTTTATTAATGGCTATCTCCTCTGTCGATACTGAAGATCAAACGATCAGGAACGATAAACATCAGGGAATCTTTACAACGAGCCATTCAAGAACCTATGGTCCAACAAATATGCCCACAGAAAAAAGCGAACAAATATTTGGCAGTTCATTTAATGTCATCCATCTCCACGTCCTCAGGTAGAATGCAAGCAGGAAACGATTGGTTGGATGTGATTCCGGGGCTGATATAGACGATGACATTCTCAGGAGAAAATGAAAGTCAATTTTTGATCACAAAGCCAGTGAAAAAAGACTGCAGTGGGCAGAGTGCTGATGAAGACATATGTTCCACCAGGAAATCAAGGAAATGGTAATAGCTAAATGAATGAGAACAGTTTTTACAGGATGGAATGAGTTCATCTTATTTTATGGCGTTCTCGTCCTCAATTTATAAAACAAACAATGAATTGTATAAGTATTCATTGTGACATACTTCACTTGGGTAACTAGTTCGTTTTACAAAACCGGAAATAAAGCTCGAAAAGGATTGGTAGGAAGAGTATTCTGGAATCTGTAGGTGGATTCTGGTGTCCGTGGGTATGTTTAAATAATCATATAAAGGGTTATCTAAACAAAAGAAATGAGGTCAGTGATAAAAAGTCACTAATAAAAACATTAGTACGAAAACAGATGAATGCAGATATCTAGTTACATAACAGAAAAACTAAATTTATCTTTAAATAGGTAAAATAAAAGACTCACTGCACACTCAGACAGCCCATAAGTCAATAATAGTCTTCATCTTTAAGAGTATAAGTCCAAGTGGCTGGATGGTCAACTAGCTTTGCATCGTAGCCTGAAGGTACTAGTTTCCATCCCTGATGAGGTGATGCGTGTGTACTGTGAAGATTTTCAAACTAAGACGAGATAGTTAACAAACAGCTCCAGATTTTCAATATCTGTCCAACTACTACAAATCCGTTATGAGACTAGAATCGAGCCAAATCACAGTATGCTAACATCTCAAAATATACCAATTCGTTCAGCTTACATCTTGGCCCTGATCATTAACTTCTCAATTGTCAACATCAAACTTTGACTTAGTTTTAAATATGCAACAGATGAGTTCAAAATAAGTGACTAAGTAGCTCAGCTAGGATGAGCTAGGTTGTGCATGTTCGTATCATATGCAGTAGTATCACGTCCTTCATTTTTGCGCATACACTTTGCTGACAAGTGTCAAAAAGCATCAAACCTAGGTCTAGTTTTTCCTGTCATTCAGGTCTAACTACCTATCACTAGGTAACTATTTCGTTTGTTTGGTTGACTACGTTATAACATGAAACATTTTGTAAACTAACTGTTGATACGAATATGTATTAATAAAATTCTGTTTAAAATTCTTAGAAATAAGAATATTACTTTGTAACACTTTACACATCTGCATATGTACTTCTCAAAGAGTAGTTGAGCTTCAGATGTTCCTCCACTGATTTGGACCTTCACTTTGGATACCTAAGGAGTAATTCTAATAGATCTTACTGAATTATTGTGTTGCTGCCGCAGCATTACAATTATTCCCCCAAAAATGTTGTTGCTACAGAGTCGTGTTTATGTTCCAGTTGAAGTTCTCCTCCAAGTTAATGTTTTCTGCAGCAGAGTTTTTAGTAGTTTAGTTTCCATCTGTTGTATGAGTTTCAGGTTGACAAACACATTGTGTAGTATTCTCCGTTTACATGAATCTGTGCTACCATGCTTATGCTAGTTTCAAAACCATCATGCTTATGGTTAGTTGATATGCATTTTGTGTCATCAAAGCATGCAAACAGGAAAAGTAAAATCTATCAATAAGGTGAATAAGGTGAACTATCCAATACAACCCTCAAGGTCAATCAGTCGTGGAGAGAACAATAACAATTTATAACCTTTTAACCAGAAAAAAGAGTTTTCCCGATCAAAACACAACTACCCACATAAACGATCTGATTTTGCTAAGGGTAGGTAGACTCCTGTCTTCCTATCAAAATGTTCTCGTGTAGCCATATGTCCCCATCCCCTGCCATATAAGTCATATTTACTGCCTTCATACAGCTGGTGTGTTCCTAACAAAAGTGTTAGAAAGAATAAGAAAGTTTGGTGCTTACAGCCTGACTGATTGAATATGCTGGTCTACCTACGTTTACTCGATACGAAACCTATCGTGTGCATGGGCTAAATAATCCAAAAGGATTGAATGGCATATGAAACTGATTTAAATCATCAAGTGGCATATAAATGCAGCTCCTGACACTGTTTTACTACCTTATAGGTTTAATTTGATGTCAAACTCTGGTGGATCGTCCCCTAACACAACTCACTTCTTTGATCTTGAGGTACGGGTAGTATTCCAGTTGTCGCAAAAACTATGCGATTGTGTTTGGCGCATCTCTTAGTGTTCATGATGTAATACGTTTGCGTTTTAATGAATAAATAAATAAACTCAGTTTTAAGTTTTTAATCAAAAACAATTCATTCGATTGAAATCGACAAAATGGCAAAAATTTACTAAGTATATTGACAGTTAGTTTACGCTAAAGAAAATGGCATTTTCTGTCAACTTAAAATATTGCATTACAATTCCTGTAGTATACGAAATACGCTACAATCGGTTTAGTTCATGTATGTGACGTTGTCGCACATGAATTCTCATTTAGGTACGTATTTAAAATGAAGCTGACAGACTCTAAGTGGATGTGGGTAAGACAGAGTTCTTGTGAAATTAAGTTAATAACAGTTGAACACAGTAAATGATAGATACGACCGCTAAACAGTCCTGCAGATCTCAAAATTAAGGAAACATCTTCAAGTACAGGTCTAAACATCATGGTTTCAGGTCATAAAATTTATTTCGTTAACAATTAAACTTGCTTTCAGTTCACTCCTATGAAATGATTTTATCAACACATGTGGAATAAGATTCACACGTTTTTCCCCATACAAAATTGAATTAATAAATTTATTACTCGTACGCTTATTATGCCTAATCTGAACATTTCTACGATATCGTTATTTTATTGCGTAAAAGAACGTCGATTGAGGTCTTAAAATTAAGGGATAAATGAGATGTATTTAAAAATGACCTTTTTTTCTTTATTGAGCAATACCCACCTCAAATGTGTAAACATTGCGTATATTGGATGGTTGAAAGCGAATGGCTGGAAGTCTTGTGTCTATTGGCACTCATTAAAAACACGTTTTCGCAATGTCTATGAAATTGATTTCCTGTCATCTAAAGTGTCATTTAGGGACTTTCCGACGAACTAATTCAAAACGAATTCAACATCTTTCAGCTAAATGACCAACTTGAGATCGTGATCCACAGAATCCTATCAAAAGAAATAACATGACATTGATTATAGACTATTAACTAACAGACGTAAAATATGTTTCTTAGGACAGCGTTTGATAACATGTATTTGAGTACTGTGGTGGATTATAATCCACTCAGTGAAACAGTTTTGCTTACAAGTGAAATAAAGTTTAGAGCATAATTAATTCCTCATAATCAAGTCATGGCATTTACACAACTTCATAACTTTGTTAATATATTTTCACAATTTCCCATCCCATTGTGTTTGTTGGTAATAATATATCCATATTTCTGGTATTGGAAATGCATCTTTTCTATTTTACATGTTAGTTGTAGATTGGATGAACAAAGATTCACCGATCATTTACTCTCTCCATCTAATTACGTCGATTTTTGGTCGAACTGTGGTTATCACAAACTTTATTGCTTCATTGTTTGTTAAAGCGTGTATTGAAAAGTGTCGAGCTGATTTATAAGTTGTTCATCCTTTTCGCCTTCAAACATTCTTCGCTCTCTAAACTGACTAGTGCCATGAAGACAAATATTTTAAAGAAAAACTCAGCAATCGTAATGCATTCCCTAAGATAACAGTCATTCAATGCAGTAGGACAGAGGTAAATTTCTGGAAAATGACGTAGTTAGATAAAAGGAGTGGGTGATCACTGGATCTTCATTCATCCGATCTACACTTAATATGTGAAAGAGGAGAGACGCAATGCCCAAAACCAGAGTCTAAAATATTTTGAAGTTAGATACATGAAGTTTGAAAATTGAGTGAGTACTTTGATATGATTATGAAGAGTAATCAAATGTGATAATAAACGTCATCAGTGAATAATACTGTATAACATTGTTTGGTCTTATGAAGTATATTTACTCCATGTCGTAACGAACTATTAAGCGTACTTACTTATGCTCGGATTTTCAGCCAATTCATTCACATTTGTCTTTTTGTTCTGGTGCTTCCTGAGACTACTTCATCGACATATATGCGAATAACATATACATAATAGAACTGTTCATGTACTGATGTTATAATGAAAAGGATAAAACAACCCTGTTTATTTCAATTTTACAGTTTCATGTAAAATAAATAATCGATCAGTGACAATCTGTAATTATTCACAATTGTAAGTTAATCGTCAATCAACAATGGAAACACTTTTAAATGATGGTTAAGTGATGCATACATGAAGGTGCACAGTGATAAGTTCATAGGCGCGTGAATACGTTAGCGCAAGCATACTGTGTTTGCGTGTGTCTATGTATGTAGACATTAGATTTCACGTGTACTTGTCAGTCATGTGTTTTATTTCTCTCAAATACACAGTTGTAAAGCAGTCATGTTTGATTTTCGTTCCAAAAATTTTTCACGATAAAGCTTAACTGAGATAATGTCATTTCAATCCTCCGTTTAGTAAATTCTATGAATATATTTCAAGTTTAAGAGTAAAGCTAAACGATTTGGCAAAGAAAATTCTCTTTATAAACGGAATAGTCGTCACTGGCGATACAGTCATGTTTACATTTATCATAATCGTATGGTAGTCGATTGCTGAATAACAGGGCTTGAGAAATGGTGCATATGATTAATAAAGACTGGTTTCTAAACACACGGTAGAAGTTGGGAGTTTTAAATTTTGAGTAAGCATGACCTTTGGAATAAGGTAAAATTAGGTGTGCAACAAACGGTTTTTGCTCATATAATCCAGGATTATACTGACAAATCGCTATCTCTATCGTCACATACAAGTGCCGAAACTCAATACCCTTCGTACCATTCGGCCTCAAACTGTTGAAGATAACTTTAAAAGACTACTCTAATAGAACTGCTTGATCTGAGTTGGTCCAGCTAGCAAGAATTTAGTCACTAATTGTCTTGCGTTGTCCCGTTAATAATCATTTCTGATTATGTTCAGAGATTCGTTTGGAAAGTGTGCACTTCTTATGGCCAATTTCATTAGCATTACAAGCGCAAGTGAATTTATAAACGCAGGCTGAAGTGGCCTAAGGCAGCATTTTGCCCTTTATTAAAACCATTGATCACAGTCGAAAGGAAAGCTTTTCTCAGAGATTTTGATAAGCGGTTATACAGAATCGAAGCTGCGGTATCGCCTTTAAATTCAGCATTCACTGACAGGTTCTGTTTTGCCTTAATGTTTCTAATCGATGAATCTTGTAAGATATCCATTTCCAATAAGGACTAAGCTGAGTCTGTCCAACTCACCATCCACTGTATTATTGATGCATATCCGTCCTATTCTTGAAGGTAAGGAGTGGATCGGGAATTTTTTTCCTCCCAATGATGAAACTACACATATTGAATACTCCTTTTTGGTTTCCTGTGGACCGATCTCTGGTGAAAACTATCAGATCTCGTTTTACACCTAACTAGGTACATCTCTTTTGGATTCTTTGAAACACAACTAGGAGATCAACTGAGTTTTTAAAAAAATAAAATTCAGTCTCTGAATGTCCTTAAATTGATTTCATTTATTTGACTCGTCAATTATGTTATGTCTCAAAAAATTTTGATATCATATCTCGAAACCGAATAACATAGATAGTTTCTTCAAAGATATTGCAGACAGTATTTTCGAAATATTTCATGACGCAAATAACTGAGTTTAATTTGAGTAATCAGCTTACGACCAAGACATTTTGACTTGAGTAAAGTAATTGTTTCAACTTAAAATCGTCATTAGTAAAGTTTACATAAACGCAGTATTATTCTAATCAGTTTCATAAATTTTTATTAGATGGGAAAAACGTTCCACACTACGCAAAGAAGCTGGACCATTTGTGAATTCAAAGTATGTTGAAAAAGTTCTAGAAGCTTATGAGATTCATCAAACGTTTCCGGTAAGTAAGTATTAATGTTCTATTAACTGTGGATGGTGCAAGAAATATTGCTCAATAATTTACACATATTTAGGGTATGAAATTAGCTAGCATTTCGGCACATTAGAATAGTCTACCACCAATGGCCATCACTTAAACCACGTGATCAAGCGTTATAGTTAAACCTAGTTGGTTTGATACGAATAATGTATGAATGTCAGATTACCAAACGAAGTGATAAGCTATTTAAATACACATTAGGATAAATATTTTCAAGTTTTATTTCACTCTGAATCCCATGTATTTGAATAGCCGAGTAACAGTAATGATACTGTCAGACTTATTTAAGAACATTGAACATGGATTCAAAATTAGTATTGAATTGGTGGATAATGACTAGCAGTGGAATCCAGGTTGCGCATTTCGTCCTATTTGGAACTCGTCATCTGGATGTATCTGGATTTCCCAGTGAGTGATGATGCTCCAGCCAAGGCTCAAACCCGGTGCGCATAGTTTCAAACGCAAAAGCGTTATCCACCAGACCACTTGGGCCATGACAGCCACCCCTTGTGCAACGGGTCATATTGATTTAATTGAATTTTTGATTTTCCCATCGATAGATTGGACCTGGATCCCACTGCTAGTCACCATCCACCAATTAACATCGTCGAAGCATCTGCACAAGAAGCTGACATGTCATTCTGAGACTGAGAACTTCGGTCCAATCAATCGACGAGAAAATCAAAAATTCAGTCAAGTAGATTCAAAATATATATTGTAAACAGTGTACATGGACCTATTTTACTACAGCATTGATTTGTCAAGACGTTTCATAAATTTCGAAGTAGATTTCTGCAAGTACAAAAAAGAAATATTTAAAATCAAGGAGCACTACATAGCTGTTTCGTTCTGGTTAATCATGAGAAAAGATACTTGTCAGTGAAACCGGTTTGTGGTAGTTCTATAATATTGAAAATCTGTAGACGTTGAAAAACATGAACACTTGGATCTCATCTGAACGCCTGCCTGATAACCTGAAGGTATTGGATAAGATCTCAAAAGAGGCCATCTGTGCGTGTCTATGAAATAAAACAATCATCTGATGTTCTTTGGTTGTCACTGTTTTTCTTAAGGATATCCGTTAGTAACTCAGTGTGGCCTGAAGTCACTCACTTCTCTACAAACCAATAACTGGAAATAATTTGTTAATAATTTACAGTCTTCAGGAGGGTGCCACTTCGTCTCCTCTCTAGAAACATTCAAACCCAGGTTCCTTGTTTAACGTCAGAAAGACATCGACATTCATTAGTGGAGTCGAAATCCAATGATTTATAAATTCTTACTTCTATCGATCCGTGAAACATTGCTAATATTATTGGTTTCTTTTCTTGCTACACCAATAAATAATAAGTTAGAAATATAACGCGTCGATTTCGTTAACCAGTGAATATTACAAACATCATCGCCAGTGTTAATGTTTTTGAAACTATTCCGATTATATGGAGGATTTAATCATGAGCTGACATCAGTTAGAGAACCACTGGAAAACCTGGGAGTACTGGACAGCTGTTTCGTCCTAGTTCCGATTATTTCGAGGAGATGAAACTACCGAATCACTTGAATTCGATTTAATTAGTTTAATAAATTCAAAGTCATGTAATTTTCAAAACTAAGCACTCTGAGGTAACATTTTATCAATCAGTTCTAATCACGAAGTGTATATGCATCAGCTGGCACTACTGAGAGTGATAAACACACCACACGCCGAGATTTCGAAATTTCTAAATAATTTTCAATTCGAAAAAATTCTAAGTTAAATCTATGTTAAGTTAGCTGTCTTTTAGTTGCGTTTTTACACACTAGCTAACCGTGTATTTATGTAGAGTGCACTAATGTGTTTTGTAAAACCAACTGAAATACCAGTTTTAAAAGTTGCCAACTAAAGAGAGACAGAGTATTAAACAAATGTTTCTATACTTCTATGTTTATATTGACGATGAATAAGATAAGAATTGTTTAGTGAAGACTAATTAAAATTTAGAGATATAAAGTATGTAAGCCAATATACAACAGGTAATTAAACTCTGTGAAGATGAAACATAGAAATAAATATTAGACATTGTAAGCATAAATGGTTTCGATTTAATGTTGACTACAGAAATGTAAACAGTTAAACAAGATCCATATATACAAATGTCAGATGGTCGGAAATAGTCAGTAGTAAGTCCTCGACCTTAGTTTCCCACTTAATGGGAAACTTATATAGGAGGAATCTACCAATCAGTGAGAGATCTACATCTACAACTTTCCACTGATTGTTTCCAATCTCCTATCGATTGAATAACAGACTTAAATGATAGGATACAGTCAGCATTAAAAAAAAGAGATACGCAACAACATTTACAGCTCAGTGTTTTACTTTTGGATGCACACATATATGCACATATAGGATTATAAGTTTGCAGACGGTAGGTGTTACGAATTTCCTGGAATAATTTGAATGCCAACTCAGATTAAATCATTATAGATTATTCTAAATAATTTATAACTTATAGGATTGCTAGATTTCAGTTCTCATCTAAAGTTGTAACATCTCTTAGACAGATTAGTAAAAGTAATGGATGTGTTGCAGCAGACGATACCTTGTTTATTGACAGAATTCACTAATATAACTTTTTAGTCATAATTCATACAAAATGTATTACTTATTATGTAGAAGGGAGAAGAGCTAAGGAAACAGCTCACCTTTAAAAGAGAAAAAAGCACACACATACACGAACCAACTAACTAATCGATCAACACGAATACAAGCAAAATAGGACCTCAATTGTAAGATACATCTTTGAATCAAGTGGAGTATTCTTAAGAAGGTGGGATCAAGAACTATGTCAGTAAGAATCATACACTAACAGCTCTTGGAGACAGCCCATTGTCAGAATGACCTTAATTCACACAAACAAAATCACATAGTAGAACAACACATAATCAGTGTATCACACAACCGTAAAGGGAGTCATTAAAATGAGAGAGAGGGAAAAAGATAATAAGGATTAAGTCTACATATGATATGCAAATTTCAGAGGAATGATTTACAATCTGTTGAAAAAATAGATAATTACTCGAAGGTGGAACGTCCAGGTAAGTATAAATACTGTAGTCAGACCATTCAGGAAGAATTTTCAAAAAAATTAGTGAGTTGAATACTGCACCCAGCATAAGGAACAATATTCGTACTTAAATCACTAATAAAAAATCAGCCAAGAATCCCAAATGGTTCAGAAACTTGGTGTACCACCAAAACCATTTCGAACAGTCTTCAAACTTTAATCAAAAGCTGCATTCTTTCGCTCATTAGGGAAGATAAGATACTCAGCTATATAAGATGAGCAACAAGAATCTATGAGAACAAACGAATTAAGAACATATCCCCCAATAAAGGTGACAAGGGAAAATAGAGATGGACTGAACACATCTCCGGTGGGCTTTTGAGTAAAGTTGCCCTCCGAGGCCGTCAAGTGGAACCCGGGTGAAATACAATGATTTGAAAGTCTTAAGGTGATATGGACCAGATAGTGTGGAGAAGAGGCAGAAGCCTGTAGACAATCTTGGAAGCAGCTAAGAAATACTGCGGATAACAGAGTGAAATGGCGATGTCCTTTTGAAGCTTTGTGTTTCACTCGAAAACTATGGGAATAATAATATTTAATCATTTATGTTCAATCTGTTCACTTCGCCCAATAACTAGTCCACAACATTCACATAACCTGCATCTACAACACAATCTAAAGAAATATGGTTATATTGCCCTTATACAGTAGGCATCACAGTTTCACAAGTGTCACAATCAAAAATTTTGAATTACCCGACGATTTCAGTCCAGTGAAACATAATTAAAAATAAAGTTTCAGCAAGTTTCAATTGATACTGTTCACATAAGAGTTACATTTAGTGGTCCACTGGTTTTTGAAAACGCAGTTTTTGGTTTTGAAACCCGGGGGAAACACAGTCACTTGAAAAAATTCAGGTATATCTACCCGACAGCATCGAAATACAATGAAATCCCCGTCTCATATTCTAACGCTAGCTACAACTAAAGAAGCGACTTCAAGTTGAAAAAATATTATTGGCTAAGTTATTTTATCTTCCTTAGTTTTGACAATCAGTGTATCTAAAACATTGACCAGAATTTATCAAATAGCCTAATAATCCCGGGCAGAAAACAACAATAGTCCTCACTAATTACCCGAGAAGTTCCATAAATTATCACTTCTCGAATTTGCACTAACCTGATAATCACTCTATGGCTTGTGCTACTGATAAGCATTTGTAAGTAATATGCTGGTTACGTCTGAAAGAATCATTAGATAGAGGCGCAAGGATTAAGTTGTGAAGGGGAAAAATGAAGATCATGCCAGAAAACTATGGGGACATCAAATGAAGGCAAAAGAAACCCAAAAGAAATAACTTTCCTAAATCGAAGTTTCAATGCAATGTTTGTATATTCTCCCATGACTACAAGTGATTTAACCGCGTAAACAGCTGATTACCAGATACCCGTGTGTTCAAGCTTGAACTTGTGTGCCACACATTTTAGCATGACTTATTCTTTATGGCATCGTAGTCTTTTGAAAGTAATAGCCATAACTGATGTTCTACAATTTCTACCGAGTTACAATGTTGTGTAACAAGAAACCAGTATCAGTGATGAGTTGAATAGCTCATGAGTGATATATTGAATTCGACCAGTCAGATCTCTAATCCAGTTAATGAATAGCACTGGTTCCCTGCCTACTTAAAGGCTTTGTAGTTGACTGAATGATTCTAAATATAGATTATTTGTATAATTTATTTTTCATCTCATTATTATACTACTGAAATATGATACACATATAAAAAACTCTCTCTTTTTACTTTACCGATGAAATCATTAATTCAGAAAGCTATAGAAATAGAATTGGACATTCAGGATAGTGATATAGATGATGATCAAAGGATAGCACTTTTCAGAAGGCAAGTACCACTTGAAAGCAAAGGAAAATATGAATTTAGAATGGGTGTTGATGTCAAGTAAGTGTATGTTATTAAATTTCTTCGAATCTGCTACATCAATCATATGATCTATTTTCGTCTTTTTAATGGGTTCTAACCGCCTGCTTGATAACTACAGATATTATAGTCATAAATAGTTATGCACATATATTGACTTTCTACTTTAGAAAAGTTTATTTTAATAGGACACATGGTGATAAAGTATTGATAAATGGATATAGTTTCAGGCACAATTTATTGCTCATATTGAGGCGAACAGGATTAAGTAGGTAATCAACTTCTAGACAAAGGCATTAAGCCTCGCGGAAATAAAAGTGTTTAATAAAGGATTAGGCTTCAATGTAAACGTTGGTAGATTAAAACCCAAGTATGGAAGTAGCGTCAAGCGAAACAGATGAAATAATTGCTGAGTAAGTTAGAACACAATGCCAACTGGCACTGAAACACCAAATGAAATCAAGAGGGAGAACTATTCACAACAAGAAACAGAAGGTCACTGATATGATTATGAGCAATAAATTGCACTTGAAAGGTTTTCAGTTTTGTAACGTACTTTGTATTATATAAACTATGCTTATATAATATGGAATTATATTCCTGAAAGAAACAACCGAACTGCGAAACATCGTTTGAACTACAGGAGGAACTGACGAGGATATCAAAGCGGCGAAGATCGGAAAAGCAAGACAAGCTTTCATTACTCTCAAGTTTGTGTGGAGGTCAACATCACTCAGAATCAAAAACAAGATCCGGATTTTCAACTACAATATGAAGTCAGTGCTACTATATGGATCAGAGACTTGGCCAGCGCGTCATAAAGAGCATCTCAAACAAACTACAGCCCTTCATTAACAGCTGTCTTTGCTCAATACTCAAGATCAGGTGGCCAGAAGGAATCAGCAACAGGGATCTCTGGGCGCGAACCAACTGAGCAGGAACCGATTGTGAAACAAATAGTCAGGAAGAAATGGAGATAGATTGGCCATACTCTGAGGAAACCATCAAGTGACATCATTAGACAAGCCATTGCTCGAGTGGAACCAGGCTGAAAGGGAAGCGGCAAGTTGGTTGTCAGTGCGTAGGTGACTCAGAGGATGTCATGTGAAGAGGAGATGAAAACATGTGGGCAGATTTGGAGCCAGGCGAAAACTCTAGCAGAGAACCGAAGGCGATGGAGACGCGCGGATGAAGCCCTATATTCCTCTAGGAATTAAAGGAAATAATAATATAATAATAATAAATGCTACATTCTACAGTTCTTGGTTCATAGAAAAAGGCTGTTACCGTGCATAAAAAACTAAGAACCCACAAAATGGTATTTTATTATGTGTTAGGACTGAAGGATAGTGGGTATTCGGAAAAGTGCACAGTCAATTTGTTGTCTATCAATCTGAATATCAGTTAAAGTTAGCCTCGAATAAATGCTGATCGGTTTATATCCGGGCCAGATGTTTCACCCACTTATCCCTTTTAAGGACTACTCTGTCAGTTATATAGAATAAATAAAACGAATCTACATTTTAGTTACTTATTAATGTCTGGAAGCCAATCAGTGTAGTAGAATCGAACTCTGTGTCTGTTTTCAAGTCGAACTTCATTGCTCACCAGCAGTGAATAGAAAAATCTAGGTGTACAGGACAGCTGTCTTCTCCGGAGTGTAAGTAGTCTTCAGCAATACATTCTTCACTATAATTAAGACGCAAGAGAGAAAAAGAGAGGTGCAGAGAAGGAGATTTCGATTATTGAATCTTAATTTCATCGAATCCACTTGTATCACATCCAGTACAAATAACTTATCATCTATTGAAAACACTTGGAATTTCCTGCCGTCAATTAAATGAGAGAATGCTACACTTGAGATCCATCATAAATTGACGGTGAAAGTAATACAATTTATTGCCATTAAATACTTTACAGCTATAAACTGATCTGCAAATATCACTCAGTAAACAACCCTCTATCATAGGGTGTGCATCATTATATACGCAAATTTGCATAGATTTTTATTGCCCCCCGTTGAATAATACTTTAAATGCTTTAGATTACAGTGAAATACAAAGGCCGACAAGTCCAGCAATAAAACTGTTTACTGTTCAGTACGTTTAGTGAATCTTCAGGGACTGCTGCACAAAGAAACTTGTCAGTTATCCTTTATAACATACTAACATAAAAGTATTATAGACAGAGTGAAGTTGTTTTTGTGTTTTTAAACATACAACAGTACAACTTACATAATGAGTTATTGTGTGGATGTGTTTATTATTGATTATGTCGTATTTTTTGACTTTAAAAGATAAAATTTATATGAACTATTATTTGAAAAGTAGCAGTGTTGCACTATGTCATATCACAGTCTGTACAGACATAAATACTGTAAGGTCACCTTTTACAAGTCCACATATTGATGTTGTATCTGTTATCTACTTAATTAATTAATTAATTAACAGGCTACCGCTTCAATACACACCAATATGAACTTTATGAAGGCAAAAATAACATTCTTAAACGATAATTCTGTAGAAATACAACATTAAATGACAAAAAAGGGTTTATTAAAAGGTGTAATAGATAAAAAATCCATTAAGGTCCAGTTATTCATATCAATTAGAATAGATAATAGGTTCGGCGTTATTGCAAACTGTCATGAGTTGAAGGACCATCTCAAATTAGACAACAGTTGACAGATCTTTTTTCGTAATCTGGAACTCTTCAGTAGTATGCTTAAAACACCCTAGTAGGAATCGCTGTCAAATTTTTCATTTTAAAACTCAAGTACTCTTCCATTCAGAAACTTTGACAAAATCCGTAGGCTTGTGCGCATTAGCTTCTGCAAATTGATGACTTAAATCAAACGCATTTTTCAATGTCCTCAGCGAATATATGTCTTCACAATCGACTTGGGGGAAACTGCTGGTCACGATCTGTCACTGTATCTTCCAGAACGCTATCCCGTACTTAGTCGGTGATGAGGTGCAAATCGATCCTGAAGTGTTGGTTTTACAGATATCCGATTGATTTCAGATTAGATTTGATTGTGAAATGAAACCATTTAGACAGCTTAAGTGTGATAATTTTATCAGTGATAATAAAGCATTTATTCACTAAACAAAATAAGTTAAAGAGGGAGGAGAAGAATATAAAATGTAAAAAAGGGAAAGCAGGAAAACTGAGCGAACACTAATAAACCTGAGACATGATTGGAATAGTAAATGATTACTGAAAAAAATAGGAATAATAGTGATATACTACTGTAGACAGCATGTAGCTAATAATGTATTTAAACCAAAAGGCGCAATACAAGACAACAACGTTGTTCAGTATCCGCTTGGTAGTCTTTGATCCTCTAAATGATTCCGGTTCGTCATGGACCGCCACTCAAAATCAGTTGAATCCCTACAATTCAAAACTTAAAACGGATGACTTAGGCACATTTTTCGAAACACCAGTTGGATATATCATTCAAATAATAAATTAAATAGATCTCCCCCAAAAAATTGAATGGTCAAAGTGAATGGAACCAGTAAAGGTACATGAAAATTCAGGCATATAGATAAATCAACTGATATTCAAGTTTTGGTTTGTAGGGATTTGATTGGTTACAGGATTTTATCATTAGCTGACATTAGTAAGAGAAAACCATTGGAAAACTAGGGATTACTGGACAGCTGTTTCGTCCTATATCAATGAAAAATATATCGACGAGATGCTCACAAGCGACTTATCCTATTCAGGTGGGTAATTACCTGGGGTTCTAATGAGAAGTCGTGACCAGTAGGGTGCAGCAGATCAGGTGTGAGAACAAATACTCGCCTAAGACACTGGCTAGCTGCTCGCGTTATGTCGTGAATTGGCAGAAGTTAGAATTCATGGATTGACCTCTGGATCAGGTCCCAGTGGCTTAATAGTATACGAGCTCGCTTTGTAACCAGAAGGTCCTGGGTTCAAATCCCGGTGGGTGCGTACTGCTGAAGAGTCACAAACGAGGACGAAACAGCTGTCCAGTACTCTCTGGTTTTCCAATGGTTCTCTAACTAATGTCAGCTCATGATGAAATCTTGTAATCAACTGATATTCATCGAAAATCTGAATTAAGTAGCAATATAGTGTTCCGGTTTCTGAAAGAATCACATTAAATGGACAACAGATCATGCAGTACACCAGTCTTGTAGATAAATAAAGAGAATTATGTGAATCAAGTCTTTCAGAAGAACGGCAGTCTGTTTAATTTTTTCAGATAAGCATCTGTTATTCGAATACTGCACAAGCCTGATATTCCACTGGTACCTGAAGAGATAAATAATAATAAATTAAACAGACGATTTGGCCAGGTTAAACTCTGAGCATTGGTAGGTAGTAATGGAGTGCGGCCACACTAGTCCCCTTGGAACGCTCAATGATCAAGCTAGTGGAGCCAGATGAATGACATAATAATTAAGATTAAAATACTCCTAATGAAGTGTAATGTTATTAAATGGGATATCTGGTCAGTTTTCGTTAGCTTTGAGAAAGATTGAGGAAAGGTTTCGGCAAAGGACAAGTTGACGTAAGGTTAATCTGAGATAAGACGGTTGTTTCATTATAGATTAGGCTTACTTGGGGATAGTTTCATTTAAGGGTGAGATTAAAGAAGTGTTGTAGTAAGTATGAGGGTCAGCAGACCTATAATGTGGAATGACAAACCAGTCTATTGTTGAGCGTCAATTTTATTACATGTCAAACAACGGTAGTCTGTGTAATACTTGTACGTCATGTGATCGATTCATTCCTGCTTCACTTAACCGCATAACGTTTAACTTCGCCGACTATTCCTATAACATTAAATGAGGAAACCTGGAATAATTACATCTAAAAAACGCTATTGCTTTTTGGCGTTACTTTATACAAGTCGAAACGTGTATTGACTAAATAAGAGGAAACGATTGTGATTTACTAAGTAGGCATTTAACAGTGTGCTTGTTCAGATAATAGTTATCTTAAAGTATATTCAGCAACACATTAGTCATGTTGAGTAACCAGTAGACGATTGTTGAAATAGTCCGAGATTTCCTGGTAAAACAGAACAAGATGTTCACAACTACTATCCTCTTTATTCACCATCAGCGAAAGAGTTTTGTTCTTATTTGCGTCCACTAAATTTATTGACGGTTCATTTTCGTTTCCACGAATAAACGGAAGTGCGTAAGTGGTTCAGTATTTATTTTATTTATTTAAAATACAAAATCTAATACAGTATGACACCAAGAAGATGCGCAGTACAATAATAATGAAACAACACATGAAAAAATAGAAGTCCATCCGGGAATAAGTCAGTTATATTTAATAAGATCGAACAACTTTCGTCGAGTTATTGTCAGAAAGGGAAGAAAGAAGGAAACTGCAGCGCGATCACTATTCATTTCGATTCTTGACTATATTGGATAGCGTTTCGATGCGCGGATCCTTGCTTTCTTTTGAATCCAAACCAGCGATTCATGATGTACCAACCGATGCTAACCTACTACAAATGTCCTTCATTTCACAATGCCACATCATGGTCTAACCACCTCTCTGTTGTTTCCATCCCGTCCCAGGGTCAGCGAGCAGAGTCCTGTGTGGCAGCCTCTGGGATGACATTCATACCACATTCCCAGACCACCAAAGCCAGTGTTTTCAGATGACGACCTACAATCTGTAGTGATCTCCAGTGTGTCCAAAGACACGTCGTCGGACCTCAAAGTTACTCATACGATGATGCCACCTAACGCAAGTAAATCTACGGAGACACAGATAATCAAATATGCAGAGTCTCCGCGAATCATCACGGTGCAGAGACAAGGCTACGTAGGTGCAGAGCAAGTAGTAAAATGTTCATCAATCTTGTGTAAATTTCGGGTTCAGATTTCCAGCGATGCAGTTGTAAACCTCGCCTAGTTTACTAGCCCTTTATTAAATCGGAGAAAAAGGGTAGGTTGGTTGTGAGGAATGCAACCTCACTCAGCAAGGAAAGCGCCACTACCACTAAAGTTTGGAAGCTTGAAGACCTATGTTCCACTCAGAATGTAAAAAATGGGAAAAAAGGATGAAGTTAAAATTAATGGACCACTGAAGTCGAACCTATCTGCTGAATGGCAAACCTGTTTGGCTAATAATCTGAAGGCTTTGTTTTCGATACCTAGTGAGTTGTTCGTCCCAAATAAGGAAGAGACGGTTGGACATAGGGCTTCTAAGTTTCCAACCAATATACAACTGATATGAATCCGTGATCTATATTGAAAAATCAAAAATTCTGCGCCGCTTGAATCTACCTGTTATGTAATATTATTTCAACTTATATATCGCATTAAATCAAATTTGACAGTTGATAATTCTATCTCAGTTACTTTTTGTTTCAACAATACGTCAAGTAGCGGATGTTTTGATGACGTCAGAGAAGTTGTATAGAAAAAATATAAACAGCCTGATATATGCATGTGCATCTATGACCGTGGTTGCACATGTGTGTGTACCAGTGTGTCAAAAATGGACAGATTCGTTTCAGTGAGTGCTTCATTTATAATCAAATTACGATATACGTCTAAGTGAACAAGTCATGCATCATGATATTCTGTACCAAAACAGAGAAAATAAAGCATATTTCAAGGCATATTTCTTTAATAAAATACCTTTCACACAGAAACAGATTCAAAAGCAGCAAGAGTGTAATAGATATTTCGTCCCACTTGGGGACACTTCTACTGTTTGAACTTTTGATAGATGAATCATTTCTGTCAGTGAGTCAAACTCCTAGATACATACTGATGTAGAGTGAACATTTAAGTGATACATAATAGATCTTCAATTTTTTTTCTCAGTCGATTTTTTGTTCTTCTTTTAACCTGTGATTAAAGCTATCTCAAAATCGGTTTATTTATTACATAAGTGAAACAAAAATTTTTTTTATTGTAGCCTAGAAGTTCGCTTTTTGTCTTGAAATGTATATATCAATGGAGATATAGTAAAATGTTGTTAATGATTATACACTTAATCAATGAAAAGTCGCTTGTAGGTAGGTCTTATAGGATAGACATTACTTATAAAACTCGCTACGGAAGTCCGGAAAGTCTACAAGGGAATCTGAACAAGAAGCGAACAAAAATTTATAGGTGGAACAAGCAATAGTTTGTAATCTATTAAGAAAGCAGAACTTTCTGGAGATAAGAGGATTTTCAAATGCATCTGAATACGTCCCAGTCCTCCAAACTGATAAATTTGTGACGGCCCAGTTTGGGACTCTTCAGTGATACATACGGAATAAAACAGTGAAGATTAAGCCCAGGACCTTCGTGTTACTAGGTGAGCTCGTTGACCATTCAGCGAATTCCTTGGAATCAAATGGTTCATTAATTTGTATGTCTGATTTCAAAAACAGGTCTCATCAAAAATCTGTGTTTATAGATTTAGTCGTCAGTACAATAATAAGGACATATCAAATTTTCCACTTGATTTAAACACTTCGTTTGCTTTTATGCTTTCCTCATTAGAGTTGAAGCTTATATAGATATAAGTTGTACAAAAGACTATTATGGGAAACGGTGCGAAGTTTATTGTATTCCAATGCAAGATTTATGGACTTGTGATGAAATTACTGGTGCTCGAGTATGCAGTAAACCATGTTTACACGGAAAATGTACTTTGACAAGGTAGGTGTGTGTTTCAGTGTACAAAAACAGTGCATCAGTGTTGTCTTAACTCCCCTTTCTCTTTGTCAGATTACTGCTTTTTAAGTAGCTTCCATTATTAATTTATGCAACACTATCATTTAGTCAGTGGATGGTGACTGGTAAAATAATCTGGGATGCGCATTACCTCCTATTTAGGATTCGCCAACATTCCAACTGAAATCCAAACCCATGACCCATAGTTTCAAACCCTAACGTGTTATCCACTAGACCATTTGAGCTCCAGAAGCCATCTTTGTGTGAAATGAGCATGCTGGATACCACTACTGGTCACTATCTGTCAAACATAATGTTAATTTTGAGACATCGTCGTATATACAGCCAGTATACGGATAGAAACAGAATGTTTGTGCCTAATGTGAGAAAACAATCGTAAATACAAAATCAATTTAAACATAATCACTATAGATTTAAAAGGAACAAAGTCTTTGGAATACTGGATGATTTGAGAGTGATTAGATGCCCATTGACTTGCGCTTGTTTTTCAAATGAAAGAGAATATGCAAAGCTCAAGCTAAGGTTGATACTTTTGGTACTGTGGTTGATGGTCTTCCTAGACGTCATCTTAAGTACAAATTTTGTTTAGTTGATACAATATTTGATCTTCTGACAGCATTATTTGGTTTTATTCAGCATGTCTAGTGTTAAGAGGAGTCATTTGTTGTAAGCTTAACTTAAAAAGTTGGACACAAGATGCACATCATCAGGCTTATTGACTTAATTTTGGTGCATTTCTATTTTTCAGTCATGTATAACCTAGTTAGCCAATAATGAACTGAACTTTTTATGTAAGGACCGATGACACTAACCCTTTCCTCAGACTGAATTACGTAGAACGAGATAAGAAGGCTCGTCTTCTTGGTTGAAAGTGAAGTACCTACGACAATTTTCCACATCTCCACTTATTATTAAGTAATGCGAACTAAAATTAACCTCTGCTTTCCAGTGACAGCCATTTAGTCAACACATATTAGTTCAGAGTGAACTATTTTAGTTTGCAGTTATAAACTGAAGTTAGAACCCACTGACTACTGTATAGGCTGAGGTGTACATTTCACTTTATTTGCACCCAAGAACTAACGTCGCGGTGATTTTATGGCTGAAAATATCATTAAAATTGGTAGGGAAACATTCTGAACGAATAACATAAACTGAATTTTGACTGAACACCTTTTAATCACTCTCCTTTTCATCCCCACATTGGAGAACTTTCCTGAAGTCCGAAGGTAACCAGAAGAACTTCTAGTGCTAAGGTTGTGGAAACTTGATTGATTTCAAGGTTGATTTCGTCACCAACTGACATCCCTTAGATAAACAATGTTTTCCAGTGCAAAGCTATTTTGCTTCACATTGATGGGAACTGCAGACATCGAGGAATGAAAAAGCGACATCACTATTAACGCCTCACCACCACAAACACAGTTATTCCTGTGATTACTTATCAGACACCTCATGCTTCACACTCTGAAAATAATAATCAATAATAATCAGCGTTTTTATTCACGCTAAAAATCAAAATATTTAACAAATGTCCAATTGTGACAAGACATTTGACAAGAAATGAAATTGATGATAAATGAAATCCGGTTAATCTATGAGCTCGAAAATGATTAACGGGGCAATAGAAGTCTGAACATAGAAATACAGAAGAAGAATACGTTAGTGAGAAATGCCTGAGTCTACTGAACTTCGGTTAATTGAAGTACATAACTATTAAATCCTGGTTAGTTAAGTACTAAAAAAATTTACTTAGAATCTTGATTACTGATTCAAATCACCGTATGATATTTAAAATAAACTCATCTAATATGGAATTACATTCTACTACAGTGTCCAAGTTCTGCGCTTACATTAATTAGTTTATTATAAAAGTGTTAATACTGTGACAATCTTTAAATTATTCAGTGAGATGTTTCAATTTAATCGAATCTGTAATTTGCAAATTATACAATTTGCAGTGAAATGTCACTATAATTTCCTTTTGATACAGAAGTTAAACAGATTGCAAAATATGATCGGCTTGACATTATAAATAGCGACCAAAAATGCGAACGTTAGTGATTGGTGCCACTACTAACTGACTGATATGGGTAGGTAGATGATACCAATCTCATCAACTAGTGGTACTTGCTATGCAGACCGAAGTCGTTTAAACACTAGAGGGATGCTTTGATCGTTTGCAATGAAGCTCATCAATAGTTTACCGGGCTACAGTTCATTCCTCTCCCTTTAGATGAGTTAAACTGAGCACACCTTTAAAACAAGCGAAACGGTCTCCAATTATTAGGTTCAATTAGATCTGTCTGACAAGCACTACTGGTCGCTATCAGCTGTATCCAGCCAATCAAATCAGTCAATCAATCAGTAAAATGATAGCATTTTATTGGTGCTCAGTGTGATTTTCTTATTGTTTGATCTAATCTATTGCCTTCAGGATAATTTGGTCATTCGAGACACTAATATTTCATTATTAATTTCAATTACTAATTTCTTACTTTTTAATCTTCCTTGTCCTGTTGAAGTATGAGTGCAATATGCGAATGTACAGCAGATTGGCACGGAGAATTTTGTCAAACACCTATAGAACCAAAGATTATTTCAACTATATTAGCACCTGAAATTAAAGCTATCCATGTGGCTAAGCCAATAACAATTGATCAATCAGTAGTGAACACTACTAAAAATCAGGCTAATAATGATAAAAATAAAGTGACTGCACAATCCAATTTAAAAACATCAACTAGGCCAATAAAACTACAGTTAGATTCACGTCAGGTTGATGAAAATGATAATGTAAAAATAGAAACTACTGAAGCTCAAATTAAAGGTTTAGAAATAAAAGTTAGAAATTCTCAAAAGAATGTGTCTTATCAACCAAATCACTCTAAATCATCTTCTGCGTTATTGCCGTCATCTTCACCTTTGCCGTCTGTTTCAACGACATTGAAGTCCAGTTTGGTGAGCAGTAAAATGGATACATCTAAACAGTCAGAGAGGATAATAAATCCAACTGGTAAGAACTACTTATTTATCTTTATTAATACTGAAAATTTAAATTTGAATTTTTCTTGATGAAGTGAAAATGTACTGTTGATAAGTGTTGGATGATTATTTTAGGTTTGAATGTACTTACAGGAATTTTTCAACTATGCTCACGCATAAGAACTGTTGCTGTCATTTGGTAAAGAGGCAGCGCCCAGCCTCTGAATACTGCCTTTTGATCAAGTGACTTGTTTGTTGATTATTATCTGTTCACCTTTTCCAGTGCTGGTTTCGAAAATTCATTGGTCGAATGCCCTTAGACCACGAGAGAAGACGGGTGAGTGCAGCTTCGATTCACGACCACTGCATTTACCAGGCGCTAGCAAGCCGAGAAAATAGAGAATGCTGGGGGTGAAACCAATAGCCATACTTCGTGAGAACAACACTCTTTCTAGTCAAACTTCAAGGATTGAAACGTTATATTCCACTCAGAGTTTAAGGGATGGAAAAACATTAACTCGAAATATGCCTCATAGGTAATCATAGTCAATAATCATGGTAAAGTCATAAAGTATAAATGTTACAGCAAAATTTACTCACATTTTGGGAATTATATTAATAACCATATTGTGTTATCGTGGTGTAACTGACTGCTTATTTGAACCTGTCAATCAGCACAAGCTATAAGGTAAAACATCACTATTATTTCCATAGTTTTCAAGTGGTAAACACTGCTTAAGATATGCGCATCTGCATTTCTTTTTTTCTCTGAAGTCTGTTTTAGCAAACTCCACGATCAGCCATAAGCTGCTATCTCCTTTTCACATGTCCTCCTGCATGTCACCCTTGGACTCTCGATTTACCACTACTCATTCGGATTACACAGGAGGGTCAGCTCGGAGCATGATTTCACTCAGCTATCTTCTCAAGGCATGTTGACTTCTTCTGTATACCTGTCGGCCTGTGGATCTCTAGTCAGTTCGTTACCAGAGTTTCTTTTTGCCTATTATTTATTGCCCCGCTGTCTTATTTTCAGTATCGACCGAAAGGGTTAGGTGTTGATGAAAGTGTACAGTCTTTTGGAGATGCTATCGATGATTCACGGAACAACTGTCCGAAGCAGTGACCTGACATTAGTGTTGAAAGTTGGTATCTAGTTACCTATTCCGAATACGGTAGATTTCCACACTAATTTCAGAGTTATAAAAGTCTGTCTTGCTATTCTTATCCTTGCTGTAACTGATACCCTTATCCATATCACCTGTAGTCGTGAAACAATTCTGCCTAGATATGTGTAAACAAAACGAATTACTTTAGATTCATCCCGTTTATAGTGACTGGTGCTTGTTGTTGGTGATTGGTTAAGTTCATCATCTCTTTCTTCTCCATGTGTCGCTGACCGACAATCAATATGACTTTTTCTGCCAACCCAAAAACTGTCTTAAATAATCCCACCATCTCATAATTATTACTTAATTTTATGAAAAGTATCGAGTAACATTTAGACGAAATTTAGGTAACCTCAAAACGCAACTTCTTTTGTTTGCCAAAAAAAATTATTCCAGACAGAAAATTGTTGAACACTGATCAAAATAAAACAAGACGTATAAAATAAACATACAATTTGGGCCACTTTTTAACTCAGATATCTCGAAATGACTTTCTTTGAGTATTTTTGTGATATGAAACATAAAGAAAATTTAAACAGTTCAGTAGTGACACAAGTGACTGGCTTATCTCATAATAATAATTTTTCCTTCATGTTCCCAGTGGAACATAGGGCTTCAAGCTAGTAGCTTGAAGTGTTTATTTTTACAGGATGGGGTCGCTAGCCTCATGCCCAACTTTCCATCTTTTCCAGAATTATTTCGGGCTTAGCGAGGTAAAGGAGTGCGTCGGTGGCCGGGGATCGAACCCCGGACCATGTGCATGGTCTTATCACATAGTAAATGCTAAATCCAACTGACTAGTAAATTGTCTGTAAGTAAATGGAATAACCCGTGCTGACCTTATTTCTCATTGTTCACCTTAATCATCTGAAATAGTAGATATATGAAATTCATGTAAAGATGAGTTTCACTTACAGAAGGGGACCTTGGTGGCATGTTTAGGACTCGACATGAACGCGTGCATTTATTTTCATGGGAAACGGAGTTCCTACTAAAAGTTAAGCAATATGAAAAATTGATATATGTTGCTTAATAGGTACTTCTGTGAAACATTTTTCTGGTGGGATGTTATATGTCATTTAGACATTAAGTTTACTTTTGTGAATAATAATCCATAAGAGTTGAAAAAATGTCTATAAATTGTAAAAGCCTAATTAGAACAAGACATATAAACGAACAAAACTGTTTTCAATTAGAACTTCATCAGGCTTTACTTTAATTTGCATATATATATATATATATATATATATATATATATATATATATATATATATATATATATATATATATATATATTTAACTAATGACAGTGATTTTGTGGAACAAATAATGATAATATGGAGAATGATTCCAACGTCATTAATAACCTGTTGTTGTAGGTTCCCTATACACACTCCTTCTTAGTGAGCCATCTTGTTTTCTGGCCAGAAAGATGTCTAGGAATGAGATATTGTCATTAGTTTCTTTCCCTATAGTAAATTTTATTGCTGAATGGGTACCATCAAACTTGTCAAGGATGTATATTGCATCATTCTCGTATTTCATTACTAGAAATGTATCATCCATATATCGATAGCAGAATTCCAAATCATTAATTACTCATTTCAGTGGTCCATTTTGTAACTTATCGTGGAAATAATCAACTAGGATTGGACCTAATGGGTAATCGATTGCTACACCATCAGTTATTCTGTAATATTCTTTTATTGAAGAAGAAATGAACATTCATTGTGTATCCTTAAATAAGTTCCTTCAAGGAGGATGCAGAAACACTGATGTCTCTTTTTCGCGTAGTAATCTCATCACAAATAAAATCTACTGTCTCCATTAGTGGTAGATTGGTGAAAAAGGATGATACATCGAAAGACATCATATACTTGTCATTCACATTAAGATCTCTAATTTTTTCGACAAATTTAAAAATACTGTTTAATCTTTGTTTTACAAATTTATCATACAGGGGTTTCAGGAGCTTCACTTACCATTTTGCTGCTACGTGGTACGGGGAATTACACATATCCAGACCAGATAGAAGTAGCAAACCAATTTTTCGCAGTTTTGGTAGTCCGTATATTCTTGGTGCGACCGTGCCATTAGGCTTTAGAGATCCATATATACCTTCTATGATGCCACTTTGTTGTTTACGTCTTTTGAGTGACTCAGTTAATCGTTTCGTCACTTTTTCAGTTTAATCAATCGGAGATGAAGTTTTTAGAAATTTTCGGTGATCATAGAGTATTTCATTCATCTTATCTATGTATTCTGTCTCACAGTGTGTATAGGGAACCTGCAACAGCAGGCCATTGCACTCATTCAGTTTTGTACTTTTGAAGTATAAACGTAACCTGGTAAAGTGTCTGGTTCATAGAGCACCTAGGAAAGTCAGTACGGCGATAGTTCGGGAAAAAACACTGTTCAAAAAACTGCAGTTCCTCGGTGACAACATCAGCGAAATAATAATACAGCGCTCGAAAAATGAAGTTAAAATATTTCATTATGCAGCAGAAGTAGATACGTTGTCTCTTCACTACTGCCCCTATTCTACTTCCGAGAAATAAGGATAAACTACCTAAATTTGCCTTCTCTATGTACATCTACCAGTTTGACTGAAGCTGAGGAGCCAGCAACATCGGGCGTACAATTAAGCAGGTTCATCATCGTATTTCCGAAGATCACCCAGCATGGTAAGTAAGGGACATACAAGATCTATTCGTAGCTCTGTTGTAGCACACCTTGTAGATAGTGAGCATAAGAATGACGCTGATAAATAATTTAAGATTTTACTGATACCAAAATAATGATAATATTTATTTAGGCGGAAGGAACGAGTGATTACTGAATTTTCATTGTAGATATTCATTCGCATAACACCGGTAACTGTGTTGAACCGAGATGATGTAACTAGAAATATGTGTAGACTGGTTAGATTACTTAAGCGATTACGCCTTCCCTTGGTTGAATAGATTAGTCGTAAAGCTCTCGTGATAATAATAGACCGAATACTCGTGAAAATGATTCAAAAAGTGGGGGAACTAAACCGATTTCTTCACATGTGGCCCACTTATTTTCTATTCTTTTGCGTTCCATACAGGACATAGGACTTCAAGCTGCATTTTTTTAAGTCTCAGTAGTAGTTGCTTCATTTTTACAGGGTGGGACTGCTAGCCTCATGCCCAACCACCCGTCTTTACTGAGTTTACTACTGGCTAGATGAAGTTTAAGAGTGTGCTATCCGGGAGTTGCACCTCGCACCACATGCGTTGTTGGGGAGCATACTGCCTCCAAGCCACTGACGCGCAAGTTTGGCCCACTAGCAGGTTCCTGTGGTATAGGATATGACTGATCATTAGTACACTGACTAAATATCAGGCATCCCAGTCGGTTATAACCGACTGGGATATGCCATTTTGTTAGCAAGTAAATATTTAAACACTCGGCTCGGTAGACGTTTACACTGCTTCAAGAATTGACATAAGTTCAGAAAACCTTCATCACAAGTGTGGCTTCTTGCCTGATGGTCTCGAACTCAACTAGCTTGAAATTGTACGTGTTCGCCTCCAAAAATTAGCAAAGTAGGGTACCTGTACCGCTCAGGGCTCTCTGTTATTAAACAGTTTTCCAACGTCATATTAATTTGTGGCTAATAATAATGTTGGAATCAAACAAGCCACTATCAACTTAAACGTCCTACTAGTATAAAATCATAATAAAATACAAATGATACATTTGAAATCATAAAAATACTTAAAACTTTAACTGATTTTGATAAATAATGTTGAATAAATTCGGTGTTAGACACCTATTGAACCAGATGAAGTACACATCATGCCCATAATCCTAAAAATTAACCAATCACGATTAG